GAAGGATAATTATATGATTTTACTCATATGTGGAAAATAAGAAACAGCGCAGAGGATCATGGGGAAGAGAGGGAAAATGGAATGGAAACTCATCAGTGAAGAAAAACCATGAGAGACTTTTTAAAAAAAAAAAAAGATTTTATTTGAGAGAGAGAAAGAAACCACGAGAGGGAGAAGCAGACTTCTCTCTGAGCAGGGATCCTGACTTGAGCTGAAGTCAGTGACTTAACCAACTGAGCCATCCAGGCGCCCCGCATGAGAGATTCTTAACTCTAGGAAACAAACTGAGGGTTGCTGAAGGGGAGGTGCGTGGGGGGATGAGGTAGCTGGGGGATGGGCATTAAGGAGGGCATGTGATGTAATGAGCACTGGGTGTTACATGCAACTAATTAATAAACATCTGAAACTAATGATGTACTATATGTTGGCTAATTGACTTTTTTTTCCTAAAAGATTTTATTTATTTGATAGACACAGCTAGAGAGGGAACACAAGCAGGGGGAGTGGGAGAGGGAGAAACAGGCTTCCCGCTGAATGGGGAGCCCAATGTGGGGCTCAATCCCAGGATCCTGGGATCGTGACCTCATCGGCTAAAGGCAGACGCTTAACATAGCCACCCAGTCACCCCTAACTGACTTTAAATTAAAAAGCAAAGCAAAGAGACCTAGACGGGTTTAGTATCATCAGCATATATGTGCAGAATGAATGATGAGAGTGGCTGGTACTGCCCTTGGAGAGTACATACAGTGAGAACAGAGGGTCTAAGGAAAAAACCTTAAAATACATTAATATTTAAGGAATGGATAGGGTAAAAAGAAACTGAAACAGAATCTGACAAGTAGCAGTTTGAGAGGTAAGAAGATATCTTAGGGATTATCTAACTAAGGCTGTGTGTGGTGGGGGGGATTCTTTCTACCAGCTTAAATTTAAAAAAAAAGGAAATTTATTTGAGGACTAGAAGGAATATCTTCTTATGGAAGTCAAAATCAAGAAAGTGCTGTCAGGCTTCCTGGGAATGGAGCCAGGCCCATGGAATGCTATCAGAACTAAAGGCAGTGCCGTCCATCTGTTTCTTGGGGTTACATGGCCTCTCATTTATTTCCTTCTTTCTCTGCTTTGGCATGCATGTCAGCCTTACCCTGCTTCTCCCTTATTTCAATTTCAAGCATACAACAGAGAGTCATGACGGACTTTCATTCAAATTACAATTAGGAAGAACAATCTAATCAGCTCATTCCAGCCAATGGATTTGCTCCTCTAGGACCAAGTGTCCATACCTGATCCAATAGTTGTAGTAAAAAAAAGTAGGATCAACACAGTATTAGCATGTCTCCAGGGCCACACTGCAGGGGGGCTTAAGCAGGGATATATGCAGAAGGAGTATAAATTGGACAGTATCATAAAAAGAATATACTCTAAAGGGAAGCTACAAGTGGAAGAGTGTTTCTAGAAAAGGCTAGTAATTAATATTTTTTGTTTGTTTTGAAGATTTTATTTACTTGAGAACATGAACGGGGGGTTAAGGGCAGAGGAAGAGGGACAAGCAGACTCCCTGCGGAGTGGGTAGCAGGACTCAGGGCCTGAGATCCTGACTTGAGCCAAAGTTAGCTGCTTACCTGGCTAAACCACCCAGGCGCCCCTAATTAATATTGTTAAATGCTGCTGGAAGGACAGACGAGCTAAGTACTGAGCTTTATAGAAGACTTGTAAAATAAAAATAGAAAAAACCTAATGTTAATTTTTTTTGTATTTCCTTACAATTTGAAAATAATTTCAACCATATTGTATATGGTGTTTACTTTTTTATTTAATATAATGTTTGATACTTAATTTTATAGGACACTTATCTAGGCCACGATACCCAGATTTGGGGGCAAACACTCTTGTAGATGTTTCTGTGAAGATATTTTTTAGGGACGCCTCGGTGGGCTTAGTCGGTTAATTAAGCATCTGCCTTCAGCTCAGTCATGATCCCAGGGTCCTGGGATTGAGTCCCACATCAGGTTCCTTGCTCACTGGGTACCTTGCTTCTCCCTCTACCTGCCACTCCCCCTGCTTGTGTGTACACTCTGACAAATTTAAAAATCTTTGAAAAAAAAAAGATATTTTTAAGGTAGTTATTAACATTTCAATCAGTAGATTTTGAGATTATCTTGCATAATATTGGGGGGGCTTTATCTAATCAATTGAAAGCCTTAAGAGAATAAAAGACTGTTTTCCCCCAGGAAGAGGGGATTCTGTTCACCTACTATATTTGGACTTGAGCTACATCAACTTTTTCCTGGATCTCCAGTCCACTGGCCTACCCTGCAGATTTTGTATTTGTAGCCTCCATGATCCTTAAATAAATACAGTAATAAAGCCAATTCCTTGCAGTGACTCCCCCTCCATTTATGTGTGTGTGTGTGTGTGTGTATCTTACTGGTTTCATTTCTCTAGAGAACTCTAATATTTTTTCTCTATCAATAAAAATTCCCAGAAAACTTTTTTTTTTTTTTTTTTTTTTGTTAAGATTGATTGATTTGAGAGTGAGAGAGAGTATGTGCAAGTTGGGGGGGAGGCAAAGGGAGAGTGGGGAGATGGAGAGAAGGAGATTCCCTGCAGAGTGGGGAGCCCCATGTGGGGCTTGATCCCACGACCCCAAGAGTATGACCTAAACCAAAGTCAAGAGTTGGACACCTAACCAACTGAACTACCCAGGCACCCCTCTAGAAAATATTCTTAATGAATAAAACACTTTCAGATTCTTGCAAAATAGTTTTTATATTATAGGACTGTACTTACTATAGATACTGTTACCTCCATTTATAGATGAGGAAACTGATACAAAGAGATTATGAAACTAGACCATTGTCCCGCACCTGAAGAAGTAGGCACCTTTGGGGAGTCAGCCTAGCTTACAATGATGAGGGAACAGAAGGCTGGCTGAGGACAAAGCAAAAGCTGACACCCTGCAACTTTCCCCCACTTCCACTCCTGGGTGGCGCATATGTGACATTCTTTAGGAATCTCCCACCTATCGTAATATTAATACCTTGCTAGAGGGAAAAATGACCTTGACAATGGCAAGGCTTCAATACCTCCTCTTTAGCATATGAAAGTTCTATTGAAACCTCCCTTTTCCTTACCTACCCAACCCCATCCTACATAACCTACCACCTCTCACAACCCCACAGGAGCAGCTCTTTCTGCCCACGGGTCCTCTCCCCGTGCTTAATAAACCACCATTTTGCATCAAAGATGTCTCAAGAATTCTTTCTTGGTCATCGGCTCTGGACCTCCACCCCACTGAACCTCACCTATATTCTAAAACTTCACCAACAACCCCCTAAGAATCCCTCACCTTTAGGGCAAATATTTTGTCTATGCAATCTTGTCCATCAGAAATTGAGAACAGGGGACACCTGTGTGACTCTGCCGGTTAAGCCGTCTGCCTTCAGCTCAGGTCATGATCCGGAGGTCCTGGAATGGAGTTCTGCGTCTGGCTCCCTGCTTGTGGGGAGTCTGCTTCTCTCTCCCTGCCGCTCCCACTGCTTGTGCTCCCTCCCTCTCTGACAAATAAAATCTTAAAAAAAAAAAATTGAGAACAGGTACTGAGTTTGGGCAGGTTTCTCCACTGAAGAATTAAAAAAACCATCTACCATGTGGACTAAAGAGCGGAAAAGCTGCCACACAGAAAAAGATGAAGTGGATATGGAAGAAGAGAGGATCCTGTGACTGTCTAGTTGATAGCTCGCTCCAGTTTCTTCTTTAAGCCTTAGCTTCCTTTTGCCTTAGGGCTCAGTGAGATATTCTGTATCCTTCTAATACTTTACTTTCTCTACATAATTCAATTCCTATTATCTACATTTTTATTTTAAACTACTACATTATAATCAATAAATATTGATTTGTTTATCATTGCATGGTATATATAATTGCATGATAAACATTTTTGTATATGAATCCTTGGTCCACATTTCTATGCCTTTTTAGGAGAGAGATCACTGTGTGAACGTATATGAACATTTAGAGCTTTTTTATGTATGGACAAAATGCTTTTCAGAAAGGTTGCATCAATTTTTATTCAAGTAGCAGGGTATGAAAACAAGGCAGATATATCATTAACGTGGTATCCTTGTCATCTGTTGTTTACATATACACTATCCATTTCTTGAGTTCAAAATAGTTTTTTTTCTGGTGCCTGACTTTGTCCCATATTTAAATTACTATGAAAATTCTGAATTCTATTGAAAACAGTTTTTGTCATTGCTTTAATTGCAGGTCATTTTATTGACTTTTTTACTAACCGCAATGAATGCGAATGACAAATGACACAATATAAAAACTAATTCTGATTATGTGTGGTAAAGAGTTAAGGAAAGCATATCAGTAGGAATAAAACCGTTTAGTAGAATAACTGAAGGGGATGTTTAGATAAGTGTTCCCATAATAGGCTGTGCAATGAAAAGATTAGATCGTGGTGTGAAATTAAAAGCATCTAGGAGGTCATATGATCTGTTCTCAGTTTGGTAAATTTTTTCTAATTTGAAAATAATGTGAAGGACTTATAAATTTTTCTTTCAGCTTTTTTTTTTTTTAAAGATTTTATTTATTTATTTGACAGAGAGAGAGAGAGAGATCACAAGTAGGCAGAGAGGCAGGCAGAGAGAGAGGGGGAAGCAGGCTCCCCGCTGAGCAGAGAGCCCGATGCGGGGCTCGATCCCGGGACCCTGAGATCATGACCTGAGCCGAAGGCAGAGGCTTAACCCACTGAGCCACCCAGGTGCCCCTTCTTTCAGCTTTTTTGATAAGACCTAAAGATTTAATTAAAACTTTCTTATTAGAGGACATAACAAATTCAGCAAGTAAAGCTCAACATTCTCTAAGAAAAAAAAAATTAAAAACTAGAAACTCCTACCAAACTTAAAATTATTACCTATTTGTATAGTGATAAAAGTGTAAAGTAACAAGCATGGTAAATTGGAAAAGGCATCAGGATAGGCCACTGAAGAATAAGCGTCCCTGGGTCATTTCTTCACTGTAAAGAAAGGAGAGTGGAATTAATATCTTTAAGATCCCTTCTACCTCTAATTAAGTTTGTACCTAGCCTCCATTTTAAGAAAAACCTAAATAAAAAAGATCTGAGAGATAATCTGCTTGATACAAGGATACAAGGAATTAAACAACATGCTATTAATGAATGACAGCTTAGTATAGTGGTTAAGAGCTTAGATTCGGGAATTAGACTTTCAGTGTTTGACTCTCAGCTCCATTACTTAATGCCTGTTTAAATTCTGGACCTCTCTTTGACTCAGTTTCATTTGAATTAGAGTATCTACCCCATAGGGTTGTTCTGATGATTAAATGAGCTAATATTTCTAAAGGTCTTAAAACAGTGCCTGGTACACAGTAAGTTGTATGTTAAGTAAAATTATTTAATCTGTTAACCCTTCAATAAAGAACAAATCCACATTTACTTCTTGTAACAGCTTCCTAGAAATGAACTGTGGCTTTAAAAAATCCAGCCAGTTTATTTGTCAAGTAAAGGACTGGGATGGTTAGGAATTAGTAGAGTGTGACAGTCAAGGGGAGGACAGAACAGTTGCAAATACGTGTGCATCAGAAGTGAGAAAAAGGTTGGTTAGATTGTTATTGCAGAGGAAAAGAGGAAGAGGACTTATATAAAAATAGAAACTAGGGCTCTTACAGAATTGCTAAATTTGCCAATGTGGAGAAGACAATTTGAGTTTTCTGTTGCAATGCTCTTCCCATTTTTAAAATTACTGTACTTAGTTGCTCCTCTTCCACTTACCCTCCCAAGTGCTGAAGCAGCTCTGTAGGAGCTTTTCATACCCCAGGCTAAATTTGCTCCCAACCCTGGAGATTTGAATAGGGATTTTTAAAGAAACAGATCCCCATGGGATCCGTATTAGACACTGGAGAAATTCTCTGGGGCCTTGTAGCAGATAGGGCTAGATTATCCAACAGACGATTATATAAAAATTTCTTTGATACATTAGAATTGGAATGAATGAATGAATGAATGAATGAATGGGTAACTGCCTGAACGATTGAATTTACTACTTTCTCTTGTTTCTACTCTGGTTTCCACAGAGAGAATCAGGAATTTCTTGTTCATCCTAACTGTCTGGAAAGCTGTGGTCTGCTTGCCTGCAGCTATAAAATGATACAAGCTAAAACATGTAGTCCTTTTCTTTCTTTTTCACAAATCCCTTCCCTGTAACAGAAATTGGGAAAGAGATCCTATTTTGTTAACCTAAGTCTGTATCAGATAGGATGGTAATAAGCAGTACTTTCCTTTTTTTTTTTAAGATTTTATTTATTTATTTGACAGAGACACAGGAGAGGGAATGCAGCGGTGTGGGGGGATAGTGGGAGAGGGAGAAGCAGTCTTCCAGCTGAGCGCCATGCAGGACTTGATCCTAGGACCCTGGGATCATGACCTTGAGGGGAAGATCAACTGAGCCACCCAGGTGCCCTAAATAATACTTTACTTATTGTGGTTTTTAATAAAAAATATACTTAAAATTATAATATTTACTTGATGAGTTCTGTTGCTAAATTGATACTTTGTTACTTCAGAATTCAAAAGAAACAGTAAGATGACACTAGATATGAATAGGTCAAAAGGACAGATTGAGTTGAAAATGCTTTAGTTCACATATTTGTCTTAATGTGTACATTAAATGACTGCATATGGGTCAGTTTTTGTTATTATTTTACCTTTTTGAACCCATATATTATTATATTCTATACTAGCCTGCCAGTGTGGAAAGTACTATGAAGGAAAACATGCTGTTGTGATTAAGTTTTTCGCTTTGTTTTGCTTTTAGTATACAAAATACAGTTCATAATGTGCTATTGTAGGAGATTGTTTTTATTTCTATACAATTTGGTTACTTTGTTTTAGAAAGTGTATATTAGTTTTAAAAGCTTAAGTTACAGAATCCTTACCTAACAATGATTATTCTAAAACAAGCATTGGAAATTCCCTAAGCTTACTCAAAAGGATTTTCAGATTTCAATTTATTGTGATGAATTCCGGAGATGCTCTTAGAACTAAAGGTTAAGGCGGCCCAGGTTTGGGGCCAGGAACTGATGGGCCTGTGACCCTAAGGTTATCATGAATGTGATAAGGTAAGACTGATACCCTCCTGTGGCTGAAGGCTTATGTTTACTTTATTTATCAAGTATTTATTTATTGGCTACTATATGTTGACACTGTTGTAGTCACTGATAATACAGTAGTGAACAAAACAGATTCAAGTTCTGCCCCCATGGAACTTAAATTCTTTATTTTATTTTATTTTATTTTATTTTATTTTATTTTATTTTATTTTATTTATTTGACAGAGAGAGATCACAAGCAGGCAGAGAGGCAGGCAGAGAGAGAGAGAGAGGGAAGCAGGCTCCCTGCTAAATAGATAGCCCGATGTGGGGCTCAATCCCAGGACCCTGAGAACATGGCCCAAGCCAAAGGCAGAAGCTTTTAACCCACTGAGCCACCCAGGTGCCCCTGGAACTTAAATTCTTGAGGAAAGAGACAATAATTAAAATAAATACTATGATTTTTTATATATGTACATATATACACACACATACATATAGAGAATATACATGATATCTATTATATCCTAATGTATAAATATATCCTATGTCAAAGACAAGGTCTGTAACTTCTTCCATTAATGTTTTGTAGCTTTCAGTGTACCAGTCTTTTACTTACTTGGTTAAATTTATTCCTAGATTATTTTATCCTTTTGGATGCTATCGTAAATTGAATTTTCTTAAATTCCTTTTTAGATTGTTAAGTGCTGGTGTATAGAAACAGAACTGATTTGTGTGTTTTGATCTTGTACCCTGCAACTTTGCTGAATTCATTTATTAACTCTAGTATTTTTTTGTGGATTCTTATGGGATTTTCTTTTTCTTTTCTTTTTTTTCTTTCTTCTTACAATCATGTTATCTGTGAGTAGAGGTAGTTTTACTTTGTCTTTTCCAATTTAGATGTCTTTTCTTTTTCTTGCCTAATTGTTCTGGCTGGAACTTACACAGCGTTAGATAGCAGCGGTGAGAGGTAGACATCTTGTCTTTCTCATCTTGGGGAGAAACCTTTCAGGTTGTCATCATTAAGTGTGTTATCTGTAGGTAGTTCATAAATGCCCTTTATCATGCTGAAGAAATTCCTTTCTTTCCTAGTTTTTTAGTGCTTTTATTATGAAGGATGATCATGGGTATTTTTTTCTTAATTCTGTTAATGTGATATATTACATTAATTTTTCTTTGTTGAACCACCCTTGCGTTTCTGGGATAAGTCCCGTATCATACATCGTGGTGTATAATACTTTTAATGAGCTCTTGGATTTGGCTTGCTAATATTTTGTAGGAGGTTTTTGCACCTGTACTTACAGGGGATATTGATCTGTAGTTTTTTTGTGATGTCTTTGTCTGGTTTTGGTATCAGGGTAATAGTGGCTTCACAGAGTTAGGAAGTGTTCACTTCTGGGTTGTTGTTGTTGTTGTTGTTTGTAAGAGCTTGAGAAAGGTGGATATTAAATCTTTTAAAAATGTTTGGTAAAGGGCGCCTGGGTGGCTTAGTGGGTTAAGCCTCTGCCTTCGGCTCAGGTCATGATCTCAGTCAGGGTCCTGGGATTGAGCCCCACATTGGGCTCTCTGCTCGGCAGGGAACCTGCTTCCCCCATTCTCTCTGCCTGCCTCTCTGCCTACTTATGATCTTTCTCTGTCAAATAAATAAGTAGAATCTTTTTTAAAAAAACTTTAAAAAGTTTGGTAAAATTCACCAGTGAAACCAACTGGACTTCAGGGACCCAGACTGATGGAAGTTTGCCTGTCCTGTGTACATGTCAGCATGTGGCTTCCAGGGTTACATCTACAAGGAAGAGAGAGCTCATAGAATGATTAAAAGTGGCATAAGTCACTTTTACCCAGCTCATTGGCTAAACTAGTCACATAGTCCCAATCTAACTGCAAGTGAACCTAAAAATGTGGAGGAGCATAAGGAGTATTTGATGAACATTACTGTTTCAACACCTGTTCTCTTCTTATTTTTCCATAGCACTTAACACACTTGAACACATAGTATTTAACACATCTTATATAATTGATATATCTTTAAATATCATATAACTTGCATATTTTATGTTCACTATTTAGTGCCTTCCGCCAGCTAAAGCGTAAACTTATTCTCCTAGAAAACCATACTGCTTACAGTTTTCTTGCCCGCGAGCCTTTGTTCATGGTGTTCCTGCTGTTTATAATGCCTTTTATCTTTTTTGCCGTGTACTCCTTTTTTCTAAAGATTAAATTCTACTCATCTCCCAGGACAACGTGGATATTATTTAATCTGGGTGATTTTGTTAATGTCTTTAAGTTAGGTGCCCATCTCTTAGAATCTCTAGGAATTTTTAGGGTATTCTCATAGCACTTACCTCACTATATAGTTACATGTCTGTCTGCCCCTTTAACCAAGTTTCTCATGCATGTGGAAGAACACTGGAGAAACAGGTAGAGCCTGGAAAAGAAATGAGGAGGATCTGAGTAAGGACAGTTTAAGAAGAGTGGAAAAGAGTTGACAGAATCAAGAAGTATTTAGAAGGTAAAATCAGCAAGATGTGATTATTGGTTGAATATGAGGGATAAGGAAGGAATCAAGGATAATTCATGTTTCTCAGTTAGATTATTATGTGGGTTATGAGGTTTCTAAATGAAATAGGTAATATGAGAGGAGGAACAAGTTTGGGTGATAGGATGATGACATTGGTTTGAAGTATAGTGGGTTTAATTAACTCCAGAGAGAGAGAGATGTGCAATAGAAGGTACAAGTGCAGGCATTGGCCATATGGTTCTTAACGCAAGGAAATGATAGGTAGGTCTTTGGCATGTGAAGTAGTTAAAAAAATAAGAAAAGCTGAGGCTACCAAGAACTGCTAAGGGCAGAATCCTTATTTATTTATGCAGTATTTAAGGAACAAGAAGAAGATAGGCCCTTGTGTGGGAAACACACAAAAAAATACATGGTGAAAGAGGAAACAGAATGTGGTACTAGAGAAATCAGGGTATTTAGACTTTCAAGAAAGTGGTGGCCATGTCAAATAGAGTAGGTAAGTCAAATCAAAACAACTATCTAGTAAATCTTTACCACGCTTCTTGAAGCCCTACTAACTCGCTTCTTTTGACTTCACTTCTTATTGAACCAAGTTGATTTCTGATTAAATTGAACCACCTTGGATTTGAAGTTATAGGGCATCAATTGTGTCCCCTTCCTTATTCCTTTACAAACTTGCCACTGTGTCCATCCATCATTTCCTCTTTCCCTCTAATACAAGGAGATTCAAAGCCAAGTCTGTCTTTTTTTTTTTTAAGATTTTATTTATTTATTTGACAGACAGAGATCACAAGTAGGCAGAGAGGCAGGCAGAGAGAGAGGAGGAATCAGGCTCCCTATGGAGCAGAGAGCCCGATGCTGAGGTCGATCCCAGGACCCTGGGATCATGACCTGAGCTGAAGGCAGAAACTTTAACCCACTGAGCCACCCAGGCGCCCCTCAAAGCCAAGTCTTTTTTTTCTTTTTTTTTTTTTTTAAAGATTTTATTTATTTATTTTGACAGACAGAGATCACAAGCAGGCAGAGAAGCAGAGAGAGAAAGAGAGAGAGGAGGAAGCAGACTCCCTGCGGAGCAGAGAGCCCAATGCGGGGCTGGATCCCAGGATCCTGGAATCATGACCTGAGCCTAAGGCAGAGGCTTTAACCCACTGAGCCACCCAGGCTCCCCTCAAAGCCAAGTCTTAACGCTAGTGCCTGATACCAAGAGTTAACTGCACTTTGTTGTTTTTCTATTTTAACGACTTTCTGATCCCAGTTTCCCCCCCAACAATTTTTCTCAAAAAGGTTACCATTTGAAATTTTACTGGAGGGGCAGAAGTGGAAAACCAGTTACAGGGTGTTGAATACTGAATACAAGATAGGGAAGTACCAAGAGAAACTACAAATAGCGGTCAGTGATGGAACTGAGAGGGAGATAATGCTCAGTCTTCCTCCCCAGGGAAGCAAGGATGCTTACATGGATCAGATTCAAGCACTACTCCAGAGGTATTTCATTTTGGAGCTACATGAAAAATGTCTCCTACTTGTTTTTCTTCTGCAGCATGCCAATGATCAAGTCTTTACTACAGAAACAAAAACGAGCCAGTTCTCACAATGAAGAGTGTAGAAACCCCAGATTTCATTCATTTGTTCAGTCATGCAAAAGTATTTTCTTTTTTTTCCCCCTCTGATAAGAGAGCTCATGCTCCACAATGAGCCAAGGGCTCCTCAGCCCTTGGCGGGGGAGGAGGAGTGGCAGAGGGAGAGGCAAAGAGAATCTTAAACAGGGCTCAGTGTCACAACCCTGAGATCAGGGCTTGAGCCAAAATTAAAAGTCAGACATTTAACCAACTGAGTCACCCAGGCACCCCTGCAAAAGTTTTTCTTAAGTGTCTGCTATGTGCCATGCTTGGGTTTAGGTGTAGGGAATACAGTGGGAGTAAAAACACAGTTCTTGTTTTTGTGGAGTTTTGTGGTATAGTGATTTATTTCCTTGTTTAAATTTAACCTAATTTATTTAACTGATTTTACTTTTTTTCCCCTTCAGTATCCTCTTATATATGGACTGATTCTTATACCCTGCTGGTGTTCTCTAGTTTGCCTAAGTAGAATTTACATGGGAATGCACTCCATTCTGGTAAGGAAAACTTTGTGTTCATTGTGCTTTATGTATTTTTCTGAAATTGACAGGCAGTTTTATAGTTTTTATAATCATTTTCAAGCTTATAGGAAACTTGAGAAAATATTATTATAAATCTTATTTTGCTAAAAAATATATAATAATGTATATATATATATAAACATGATGTTTTATGAACATTTAACTTAGTAATCATGTATTTTATAGAAACAGTTCCCAGCAATCACAAATAACCAGATATTATGCTCAGGATAAGGTTTCTCCCTCCTTCCAGTCTCAGTTTGATTTTCCTTCTCATTCTCTTCTATCCTCTTCTACCGCTGAGTGAAAGCCAGCAATACAGAAATCAGGGAGAGCTCTACTTACTAGTAAAAAATCACTTATATTTACATATTAAACTCTAGTTTTCTTTTTTTTTCCAGCAGTATTTTAAAGATTTTATTTGACAGAGAGAGATCACAAGTAGGCAGAGAAGCAGGCAGAGAGAGAGAGAGAGAGAGAGGGAGAGGGAAGCAGTCTCCCCGCTGAGCACCCAACAGTATTTTAGTGCTTACACCAGTTATTTTGAGAATGCTATTCAGTTTAAAAAGCAGTGGCACAGGGACCCTGTACTCTTTAGCCTCTCCTCACCTGTTCTCCTCCCCTTCCCATCGGCATTTCTTTAATTCTAGCTTGTATCATCTCTTCACCAGATTACAGTAATAGCTTCATTAGTAGCCCTACTTCCAGTCTGACACCACTCCACAGTGTTTAGTCTCCCGTTGTAGATTACTTCCAAAACACAAATGTGAGGCCTGAATGACTGAATGACTCATGTTTACTCAAAGGTAAATTGTATTCCTTATCTCCATACCTTTAGGAATGCTGTAACTTCTGCTCGGAATATCTTTTTTGTCTAGCTAACTATCTTATCCATTCCTCAAGGACAGAAACGTTCTTATCTCTTAAAAGCCTTGTAACATTCCCCATCTTTCCTGTCTCTAGACTGGTTAAGTGACCTTTCTCCAGAGCATCCTGAGCATAAATCTAGCATAGCACCAATGCTAAACTACAGTTGCTTTTTTTTTTTTTTTAATCTGTCACCCCCACTAGACAATAAGCAACAGAAGAAAAGTAACTATGTTTTCTCTCTGTCCCTTGCATCAAGTCTGGTGTCTCCTAGTACACTGAATGTATTATGTATTTTGTAGATAAAGGATCAGAAAAAAAAAAGTAAATATGAACTAACTCATGGAATCAAAAAATTTATAACTAGTTACAAATTCTTATTATCCTTTTAGAATTTTCTACTCATAAATATCTATGTAACTGTTTCATAGCTGTAGAAATACTAGATTTCTATTTTTTACTTAGATTGCTACCTTCAGTAGCTGCCCCTTCACTAGTAAATTTCCAGAAGTTGGAAATTAGTAAGCACATTATTTGTGTTCAATAATTTTATAATTATTGGTATTAATTAAAAATTGTGAATTTACACATAATTCTGTCTGATCGATACCTACTAATTTTATAATGAGAGAAGTATCATATTTTCAGGTCAGATCTAATATTTGTCAAGAGAAAATGTTATCCAGCTCTTTGCCTTGTTAGTTATTCCCTTCTAATCCCAAAAGTTAATAATATTACTCCTAAAAAACTACCAAATGGTTATGCATCTTTGAATGATAAAAAATGGATCCCTGATATTTCTCAGAGGAAAAGATATTAGATAATAGTACCCATAGGTTCATTATCATAATAAAAAGAGTAGTAAGCATCTGATTATATTGAATACATAATCTAAAAGACGTGTTCTTAAAAAAACAGATGTTTAGTGGATGGGTCAAATATTCAAGCTGAGTTCAGTTCAGTTTTTACATACTGGTGCCCCTATTTTTGAATCAGCTGATGTAAAAACAATATTAATGTTGTATTTTTCAGATCATACGTCTGATAACCCTAGTCCTTTATTCAAAAACCTTTTTGTCCTATGGAATGTTTCATCAGTTTTATTCTGACTAGCTACTGAATGTTATTACGTGTAGTATTATAAATTTTTGTTTTCCTTTTAAAAGTAAAATCACGGGTAAGTTGCAAACATGTAAATAATGCCCTGTGTTATGACCACAGTTTTTCCTAATCAATAGTACATTGCTTCTAATCATTTGCTAGTTGATGTATGAAATTAAACCTATAATGAACCCCACTTTTTTACATAATAGATCTAATGTTTTCCCACAATTTTTGCTTTTTCCTATATTTTAATGTTTCAGCTAATTACCGGCATTTTGAACAATTTTCTTAGTCATAATTTGTATCTGTACTATTTATTGTGAAATTAGTATGGAACTATAGGCAGTATGTGGCCTATGAATTTCCAGTAGGTGCTTAGATACCATATTATCTAAGCTGATGTCTTCATTAACATAAGAAGAGAGTCCTGATCATGTTCTAAATAAATTTATAATGAACACTTCATGCAGTATTTGCAGTAAGCTTTGTTACTGTTACAACACAAAGACTAACAGCTTAGTTTATTTTCAACATCTACCTACTTTCATAAATTGATTTTCTTAATTCCATGAAAAATATAGAGGAATTACTACGTCTGTTTTTTATTATTAAAACCTAGCTTTCAAAATTTAAATTCATAAAAATGCAGGCCATTTTAAGTTACTAGAATGGGTACTTGTCAAACTACTATTTTGTTTCTACATTAGTAAGATTATGAATGTGTTGTAAATTCACTAACCCAAAATTGTACTGAAAGGTTATATGTCTGTATGTGGAAATCTTTTTAGAAAGATAC